CCCCCCCGCCTGGTTGAACGCCTCATCGGACAGAGCAAAACCCTTGGAACTACAACTACTTCGAGAGAGAGATTTTTCCCCCCGAGACTGGCCACTTCCTGTAGTTTACATGCAGAATGATTGGTTAAATGTCCAGTGTGTGTAGTTAACAACACAGAATGATGGGTCAAATGTCCACTGTGTGTGTAGTTTAAAACACAGAATGATGGGTCAATTGTCCTATGTGTGTGTAGTTTACAACCCAGAATGATGTGTAGATTTTCCAACAGAAACATTGCAGAGAGCAGAGATGAGTTTTGCAGCCTACCATGATTTTTCGCCTCCCCGCCCCCTGAGAAAGAACACATGAATGTTTAGCTTTTGTGTCAAAGTGAAAGCCTTTTGTGAACTGCATTGTTTTGGTTGTGGCGACATCTTTGATGCATGCTGGGAGGGCAGGTCGGGGCGGTGTTTTCTGTCTTCAACGGTGAGCTAGGGACGGGATCGCCTGTGACCAACGGGCATCGGTATCTAGGTGGTTGGCGGGTGCTCTGGTGTGGTTTGCTCTTTCTTTCCTATCAAACGTCTATCGTCGTTATTGCTTCTCCTTTGTTTTGTTTTTTTTGCGTTTGTTACTCTCTTGTAACAGCTCTAATCGTCGTCGGCGCTCATGTGACATAATTGTGTTGCAAGTGCTGTAAGACTTTTACTAAAACAAAACGGGCATTGGTACATGAGAAGTGTGGACTGTTAACCGTTCTGGTGTTTTGGCCATTGTAATGTTTGTGTTTGATCAGGAGGAAGCGCCAAAGAAACGTGGGCACAGCATGAACAAACAGCGGCAGATTAGAAATGGTTGTCGGAATAAGATGCCTGATATATTAGTGTCTTTGAAAAAAATGCAATTTTGTATTCATGAGAAAAAGATGTTTGGTATGTGTATGGAAAAACGGATGTATTGTTTGGCTAATGTTAGTGAATGTTTGTTTTGTCGCTATGCAGAAGTTTTGAGGAAGAGGGATGTGAAAGGATGAAGGGGGGATGAAAAACAATGGACAAACAAAAGGAAATTTGGGAAGTGACAGTAAGTGGTTGTGAATTTTAAAAATAAAGAGCCTGTCTTTTCTGGGAGGCTGGTTAGCCATGTGACCAGATGGGTCTCTTGTATGAGTTGTGACAGTCGAAGGTGTTGTGATATCGTTCAACGACACACGGTCGGTCTTCTCTCCTCTCGTAGCTTTCTTGTCAGAAGAACATGACTGTGTTGTGAGCTCCAGATAGTGGTGAGGGTTCTTGTCAGCGGGCTCCAGAAGGGAAACAGACATCCTATCCAACTTCTATCGTCTTTATCTCTCCTCCCTTTTCTCTATGTTACTCACTAGTAACACTGCCACAGACTTTGACACTTGTATGAGCTGATTGTGTTAACAGCCATGAAGTGAATCTTTTACTGAAACAAAACCCAAAACTGAGAGGCTAGTTGAGAAGAGTGAACTCTTTATGGGAACAGGGCTGTGGAACAATGGGATTTTGGAGGAAAATGTAAATAAAATCGCATGAATCCTGCAGAATTTCGCTGAATATGGCTGGGTGGTTGGTGGAAAAACTTCAGTTTAGAATTTTGCGGTCACTACGCCAGGCCTGAGAAGCCCGTTGTTACTGTAGTCACTCTCCTGGCTGGGTGACCAGATGGGGGTATTTTGTACTGCTGGCTGTGTGACTGACCGCAAAGTGTCAAAGGTCAGTTGAATTTGAAAATTGATGAGGGCCACCTCAGGAACTTTGTTTAGATATAATAGGGCTAGACTGGTGTTTGGTAAGGTTGACTGTACCAGGCGGGTCGCTGTGCCAGCCTAGTGCTGGTGTCGCATATATCACATTACAATCAGCTGATGGTGTTGGGGTGTGTGGCTTGTTTGATCATAGCTGTTGTCGCTGTGTCACTAGCTGTGCCACTGTCATGTGTCACTGTCGCTATGTCACTCACATGTCGCTGATACCCATGGAATGGGGACGATTTGACTATGGCATGAGGTCTTGAAGTTGCGTTCATTACGTCACTTGTGTGTGTGTATAGGAGTGTCTGTGTCTGATAGTGAACGCGTTGCCTGTACAGTTGTGTGTGTGTGTGTGTGTGGATGCTGAAGTTTGATGTTACCATGTACATAGGTTGTGGGGGGATGGGGGAGTGGAAGTAGGTGGGTGTGGGTAAGGGTAGGGGGAATATGTGGGCAGGGGTGAGGGTGGGGGTAGGCGGGCAGGGGTGGTGATATATTTCTGACTACCTCGGGATAAGTGTTGGCTGTTCTCATGTTTGTGTTGTGATTTGACCACGGTCTGAGATTTGGGGCTTCTGTGCTCTGTCTCTGCCTCTCATTGTTTGTCCTAGCAGAGGAACTTATTAGTAAATTCATACGTCTTATGCAGTTGGGAGCGCTGTAAAACCTCTACTAAAACTAAACTGTGTCCACTTTGGCGATGAGCTTTTGGTTTTGCTGTAAAAGGCAGTGACTGGGACGGTTAGATTTGTCCATTTATTGGTCTAATTTTGACACGTGAACCAAAAGTCCAAAAGCAGCAGTGTCCGTGCAGCCCGCCCCCTGAAGTTGTTCAACTGTGGCGGTTAACCATATCCGTACGCCCGGGGTCATTTTGTACCCCCGGGGTGGTATTCTTCACATTTTACAATACTTCTAGTGCGAAGATCTCTTTGAAACTTTCAGTATTTCTCAAAGATCATTTTGACAGACTGCTATGCAAAGCATACGGATCGGATTAAAGAGTAAATTTTCTCTTTGGAAAGTGGTGGCACAGAGTTCCCCATGTCGTCTGGATTCGATAGTAAAACACGACCTAGGGATAAGGTTAAGTGGTGGCACAGATTTCCCCACGTCGTCTGGATTCGATATTAAAACACGATCTAGGGATAAGGTTAAGGAGTAAAAGCAATCAGAGCACAGAATCAATGTCTCCAACCTTGTTATGTTTTCTTCTTCTGCGTCTCTTGCCCTGGGTTGTGTGTTTTTGCTAGCAAACTAAAAGTCTGAATGAAAGCAGCTGACAGATCGAGAAAGTTATTTTTTTATTTTTTAAATTTTTTTTTGGGTGAATGCTGAAAGGGAAATTATTTTTGGATCTGTTGACGCTGACTGACTGAATGCTTTTCTCGTACCTGTTGAGGTTGCTGTTGCTAGACCATGCTAAGTTTTTGCTAAGTTATTTCCTGGTTCATGTCTGTAGTCTCTGTGTGTGTGTGTGATTGGGGCTGTGGGAGTCCAGTAGTTTAGTCCCGAGTCTTTGGGTCCGGGGAATTCTGAAATACTTCGAAGTGAGTTCTTGAGTACTCGGATCCTAAGCTTGCATAAGGTCACTGTATTATTTGCTCTCTTCCAAATTAAATTTTACACAATTAGTAATAATAACAATACAAAAGCAAAAAGAGAAATGATTGTTAGTAATGGTAAAGACAACAGACCAAAACATAAACTCTACTGAGATTAGTTGAATTTTGAATGGTTCACAAAGAGAATGAAAAGTACTAGATCTATGTAACATTTACAACAAACAGAAATGATAGAATTTTAAAAAAATCTTTGTTTCTACTAAATCCCCTCCCATTCTGGATGAAAAAATAAAAGTACTCGGGTGATTACCATTATTACTAGAGTAGTTTGAAGTTTTGGACTCAAGTATTAAAAACTGTCGAAGCGAGTACTCGCAGAGGCTAAATTATACTGTCGTACTGTCACAGCCCTAGTGTGTGTCTGTGTGTGCGTGCGTGCGTGGGTGTGTACATCTACTTATGTGGGACTGGCCCCTGTGTCTCTGTGTGTGTCGGTGACTTAACGATGATGCTGTTCCACGCATGCCCTGTGCTCGTTCCCTGCAGGGACTCGCGCAGTTTTTG